GGAAGCGGGGAGTCCTGCCCCGCCAGGCCAGGGCCAGGGAGGGGAAAGACCAGGAGGATTTGTCTGAGACCTTGCCAAGCAGACTATTGGTCACATCTTCTGATAATGACTTGCAGCTTCTCTGGAACATGACGAACTTGTAACTGGAAGAGACCTGGAGCCATGAGTGTGCCGTGGGTCCAGCACTATGGCAGGCTGTGGCGGCTGCAGCAGGTCCGGTTCACAGGCTGTTGCCCTGGGCTCCGGCCAGCACTGGACTGTCATTTCCTGCTCTGGACAGACTTTTTGCCCACCTGGCACTCTGGTGTTGCACACTGGCCCCAATACTGCCGTGGCCTCCACTCCCCGCTCCATCCCAGGAGTGAAGGCCTTAGGTCTCTGGTTCTGTTTCGCCCCAGGCTTGGCAGTGGTAACAAACCCAAGTCTGTGTCTGCCTCTTTATGACAACCCTCTGAGGCTGGTATTTAATCCCAGTTTATAAAAGAGGCTCCAAGTCTCCCTGCAGGGTGTCCCAGCTACAAAATGCCACACTGAGATTCAGAATCACATCATCCTGACTCCGGGGACTGAGCTTTGCCACTGCGGGGCTGCAGGCTGTCAGGGGGACAGGAAGTGGCCCCCGTTGCTAGCACAGGGCCTGGGAGCATCCTGCACTGTACATCCCACCAGCTCCTCTCCCTCCACTCTCTCAGGCCCTCTCCTCCTCTGCCTCAGTTTCCCTCATTCCCTCCTTTGCAGACTGGTCTTTTTCTCTTGTTGCCCTTGCATCCCCATTCTCCAATGAGCACAGTCTAGAATGTGAGACCATTGAGTCCCACCTCCCCCTTACACAGATGGGGAAACTGAGGCTTAGGAAGAGAAGAGGACTTGCTCCAAGATGCACAAGTCAGGGGCAGAGCCTGTGGAAAACAGGTGGAGTCAGACCTCATTACAGGTGTCAGGGGGTGGGTTGGGGGTTGCACCTGAGTGGTTTTCTTCTCTCTCAGGTGTCACATCACATGATAATGCTCCAACGCTCTTTTGGGTCCTCCTCATACAGGGATCCTCCCCTCTTAGAAAAATGGGTTTAAAAAATCTAGATCTAACCCCTTGTCCCTCATACCCGTGGAACCATGGGCTGTTGTCTTCACCTCCCACCTGTGCTTGGCCGCGGTCTGGCTCAGGATGGTGCTGGGTAAAGTGGGAGACAATGAAAACTCCACTCTCTCTGCCCCATTTTACAGATGAAAAAGCTGAGGCCCAGAGAGGATCAAGGACTCAAGGAGTCAATGGCAAAGCCAGGGCTGGAACTTGATGTCCTGGCCTCACCTAGGGCCCGGGGGGCCTGAGGGGCAGCTCAGAGCCCAGTCCTGGTTGGAATTGTGACTACAGGTGCTCACTGCACACACACTCTTTCTCAGGCTTGGGGCAGGTGTGGGCCCTCCACACCTGATCTTTGAAAACACTACACAATGCTGCTCTCACCGCCCAGGAGCCAGGCCACAGCCCAGGCCCTGGGACTAGCTCTTTGTATAACCCACATGAATGTATTAAAAAATAATGTTGAAGACACAGTGCGGCCTGCCAGCCTCCTCCTTGCTTCAGGTCACCTGCATCATTGCATTCACTCCAACCCTGCCCTCCCCTACTCCCACTATGGTCTTTGAACCCTCATGGCAAACCCCCGGAAGGTAGGACCTGTAGGTGGAAGATTGAAGCTCCGGTCATCACCACCCAGGACCTCGGGGCCTCAGCGCATCATGTCCCTTCACGGTCAACAAACCCTGCTCCCACCACCACTGAGGAGATGGTGGCTTGCAGCAGTTACACCCACTCAGGCCCTTTCTCTGAGCTCATCCCCTCTGCCCCACCTTGGGGTCCTCATCCCTCCTCTCTCATTTGCCCCCTTGCTTTCCTCTCTCAGCCCTTCCTCTCTAGTTACTTCTTCCTCTCAGACCAGCTAAGCTCAAGTGGTGCTCATTTTAAAAACAGTGAAAAGAGCCCAGGCCAGTTGCTCAGTGGTTAGTGTCGGGCTGTGGACCACAGTGTCCCGGGTTCGATTTACTGTCAAGAGCATGTACCTTGGTTGCAAGTTCCCCAGCCCCAGTAGGGGCACATGTGGGAGGCAACCGATTGATGAGTCTGTCTCATGTCGATGTTTCCCTCTCTATCCACGCCCCCTCCTCCCTCCCTTCCCTTCTCTCTAGAAATCAATGGGAAAAATATCCTTGGGTGAGGATTAAAAAAATAAAAATAGTGAAAAGATCCTAAAACCACTTTCCCCTTCCTTCTCCTACTTCATGGGTAAACTTTGTGGTTAAGTAGCTTCTCTTCCCTCCCCCCATATTCAGCCCACCCAGCTGCCTTCCGCTCCTCAGAGCCCCACACTGCCCTGGCTAAGGTCACCAAGAATTTGCCAAAGTCAGTGCACTTTTCAGTCCTAACCCTTGACCTCTCAGCTGCAGGGGCTCCCAGCCCTGTCCTCCCCATCAACCACGCCCTCCCTGGGCACACTCTCCCAGCATCTAGGATACGCACCCGGTTTTCACCTTCCTCTCAGGCCCCTTGTCTTCAGGCTCATCTGCCTGGAGCCATCTGAACGACAACTACTAGCACTCCTGTCCCGGGCCTTCTTCCCTCGGGAATGTCATTGCCCTCATTGCCAGAGCCACCCCAGAGCTCAGCCCAGCCCCTTCTGAGCTGCAGCCCTGATACCCTGACACCCAGAAGCCTCCCAGCTAGAGAACTGAAGGTCGCCCCGCGGCTGGAGAACGAGGGTGAGCAGCCGGGCTGCAGTTCACGGTTGGCCTTGGAAGAGGAGCCAGGAGGGTCCAGAAGAAGAGCTCTCCTGGGTTCTGGAAGGGAGCTGGAGGGTCAGGGTGTGGGCTGGGAGGGCTGGGAGAGGAGGCAAGAGCACCTTACATGGGTAGGGGCCGGCAAAGGGCTCTGAGGCAGAATCTAGAAAGTATGGAGTGGCTCCCACACACTCTTTTCAGCCCCTGTGCTTGTCCTCATGTGGCCCCTACTTCCCCTGACACCCAGATGCTGCCTCTTTGCAGGTGCCAGCCTCCCCTCCTGCAAGTTCCAGCTTAATGATGCTCTAACCTCCACTCCCCGCACACCCCACCCCCCTCCACACACACACAAACATCCTGGAGATCTCTCTAACCAGCTTCTCTGGTCTGTGAGCTCTTACCTCCCAACGCTGCTCCCAGTACCTACTCTCCAAAGGAAAAGTTTACATGCCTATTTCATGGATGGAGCTGGGCAGTGCGAGAGCATGAGAATCAACACCCTGGCACACAGTAGGTGATCGATGAAGGCCTAAGGGGAGGCAGTAGCAGGGGCTGAGCTCAGCCCAGGGCGTTACGGGCCTCCCATCCAGCCAGGAGCCCATCAGGCCCGTGACCCCTTTTCCTGGCAAACAGGGGTGTTTGCTCACCTGGTCAAGACCCAAACCCCCGGAAGGTAGGACCTGTAGGTGGAAGATTGAAGCTCCGGTCATCACCACCCAGGACCTCAGGGCCTCAGCGCATCATGTCCCTTCACGGTCAACAAACCCTGCTCCCACCAGGAGATGGTGGCTTGCAGCAGTTACACTCTCTCAGGCCCTTTCTCTGAGCTCATCCCCTCTGCCCCACCTTGGGGTCCTCATCCCTCCTCTCTCATTTGCCCCCTCGATTTCCTCTCTCCTCAGCCCTTCCTCTCTAGTTACTTCTTCCTCTCAGACCAGCTAAGCTCAAGTGGTGCTCATTTTAAAAACAGTGAAAAGAGCCCAGGCCAGTTGCTCAGTGGTTAGTGTCGGGCTGTGGACCGCAGTGTCCCGGGTTCGACTTACGGTCAAGAGCACGTACCTTGGTTGCAAGTTCCCCAGCCCCAGTAGGGGCGCATGTGGGAGGCAACCGATTGATGTGTCTGTCTCATGTCGATGTTTCCCTCTCTATCCACGCCCCCTCCTCCCTCCCTTCCCTTCTCTCTAGAAATCAATGGGAAAAATATCCTTGGGTGAGGATTAAAAAAATAAAAATAGTGAAAAGATCCTAAACTCCCACTGCTCAAAGCCACAGCACTGGGACGTCTGCCTACTAGGCGCTCCTGGAGGGAGGTCCTACCGGAGTCCTTTCCCTGTCCCGGGGGGACTCACGAGCCAATGCAGAAGGTGAGTTCAGAAAAGGTTTCCTGAATGGATGGACTTAAAAACGTGTAGAGATTAAGATCAGCCCTCAGACGGAGACGGGGGTGACAGGCTTCTCAGACAGACCCAGGGGACACAGAGGCCTCAGAGGGGATGCAGAGCGTGGGCTGCCCAGAAGCAGCAGTGGCCAGTGGTGTGGCAAAGAAACCGTCGTCTCTCCTCCCTCCACTTCCCTCCACTTTCTTCTCGCCTCTAGGACCTTGTCTGACCTTCTCCTTCCCCTCCCCGCACTGGCCTCTTTTTTCCTCCCTTGGTCATCTCTCTCCCCTCCCCCATCTTACTGGAAGCAGTTGGGGCTGTGGTGGCGGAGAACAGGGTCGGTGGAGGGGAGGGAGGCCCGAGCTGTTTATAGGAACTGGAGCAGCTCCATCCATCAGCTCTGTTTGGAGCTGGAGACCAAGCATAATAAATACCTTGGCTCCTCCCCAGCTGTGCTTTCCCTGAACTTGGCCATTTGAACTCCAAAGCTCTCTGGCCTGCTGGTTCTCAGGACCCAGCTCCCCATCCACCCTCCCTGCTCCCACCTCCCACCAAGCTGCCCTGGAAAGAGCCCTGCCGCTGGGATCAGAAACCAGAAACACAGGCCTGAATGTAGGCAGTGCTGCAGCGTTGCTTTGGGAACAACGGCAGGTCAAGCCACCTGACTGTGCCTCCAGTCCCCTATCCATGAAATGGGATCATAACCACTGCCCCTCACACC